CAGTAAGTGGCTGCCTTTCCTTTTAAGCCAACATGCCCAAGAGGGGCCTTTGAAGGACTTGACAGTTGTTGTCAAATATTTGTATCATAAAAGTCATCTGACATGTTTCTTAAAAATGTCCACTGCAGAGTCCATCCCCCAAATTCCAGGCTCCATCGTCCAGATTCTGATTTAGGGGGTGACCCAGGCTCTGCCTTTCTGCAGGGTCCCTGGGAGGCTGTGACACAGGCCATCTGCACGGTACACGGGCTCAGGAGAGACGCAGCCTGGCTCTGCATTTCAGCTATGACAAAGCACCGCATTTCCTGCTTTTCTTCCCCTTAAAAGCCATAAATTAACTAAGTGCTGAGATTCACATTTATAAGAAAACTTAGGCTGAGTGGGGTTTTCCAGAATTTAGGTTCTACTGGGAGGCAGAATTCTGGCCTGAGGACCAACTGAACTGGTTCCCTCGTCTCTTTTTTGCTGTTGACTTCTTGTATGTCTCTGATTGCATAACTTAGCCTTACTGCATCTCATTCTTCCCCTCTGTAAACGGAATGTGAAAATTCAGTCCACTACTCATGACAGAAGACCTCTAGAAGAGGAAAACGGTGACCATGGCAGAAGCATGAAAAGCTCCAGGCCAAGAATGTGGTATGAGTCCTCAAGATGAATTACTCTCTTGTGCACAGGGCACGCTGACTTGACCGTGGTTACCACCTGGTTCACAAAGCACAGGGAAACCCATTTGATTGGCATTTGTGAGACTGGGGTAGAGTAGCTTGCAATGCATAGGTTTCATGTTCTTGGAAAATTATTTTTTTAATGTCTCCAAGCCTCATTTTCTGCCTGTGTGAGATGGGAGTAATAGTAGTATCACCCTCATGGGGGGTGGACTTCTGTCGCTTCGTGCTTCACGGGGATGAACTTTGACGAATTGCTCAGCCCAAGAATTTTCATTCTGAAGAGCTTGGCTTCCAACTAGTGACAATACCAGCATACTCATCCTCAAGTCCCTGCTGTGCACTGTGATATACTAGGTTCTACAGAAAACAAATGCAATACTGTCCCTGCTCTTAGGAAAGTTACTCTCAAGAAGATGAGACACTTTGACACGACACCTAAAGCAAGTGACTTGGCAGGACTTTCATAATGTGTTACTAAGGGGGAAAAGCCAGATACAGAAAAGTGTCTGTAATATGATCCTAGTTTTTAAAGGCAAATTTGAAACGACTGATTGCTCCATATTTTCATTTGTATGTATTACACACACATATAGAAAAAATATATATATATATATAAACAATACATAATTTCCTAAATATATATATATTTAATTTCAGTTGTTTTGAAGAGAGAATAAAGAAATGATAAAGAAAAGATGGAAAATAATAAAAAACATAAGTAAATAATAAAAGTTTTTAAAACTACAGGGATGCCCATGATAAAAAAAGAATATATGTGACATGAGTCCATTTAAATAAATTTGCAACCATATGTGTGTCTATTGTGTGTATGAGTGTATGTGTGTGTGTGAAATGCATGAAAACACAGTCAAAATACTGACAGCAGCTCCAAGGTAGTAAAATTTAAGTAATCTTAAGCGATCTTTCTCTGTGTTGCTAGACCGTTTCTTATAATGACAAATGTTATTTATAATAACTGGAAACATGGGACTGTGTCAGGATATTTATTATTGTATATGATGTGTTGTTTTATTTTGCCTTTTTCAAACTGTCCCTAAAAGGGATGAATTCCTTTGAAATGAGAAAAAATTGCATTATTTAAAGCAGTGTTCTTAGTAATAATAAAATGCAGTAGAACAAAGGTATTCTCAATAGAAGGGCAACACTGCCTCAGTTTCCCAAATAAAACAGGCTGCACAGTGAGCTTGTTTTGCCAGAAGAAACTCAGTTACTGGACTTTCCTTTCTTGTCTTTCTATTCCTTCTGTAGATGTTTTCAATTATGTGAATCTTAAATTTGTTGAAAGAATCTAGTTTTTTAAAAGCTTTACTGTATAGTCTGACTTCTGTTTTCCCACCTTACTATTTTCTACAGCTCATCATGTCCAAAACGGAACTCAGTATCTCCTTTCTGCCTCAACTTAATTCTCTTCTTGTCTCCTTTTTCAACAGAAATGTTACCATCATCCTCAAGTCACCCAAACTGGATACCTGGAGCTACCTGGACCCTCCCTTTAGGTCACTGGCTCCCTGCAGTCAATGAGTCGATCATTTCTGTAGACACTACATCCTAATATCAGATCTCTCCTTATCACACCTCTCCTCCATAGCTATTGTCCTCATTGGTCCTACCTAAATTGTGCAGTTATCTTTAAGTCTGTCCCACTATCTCTACTTTGAAATTTTGATCAAACAGGAGAATGTCTAAAGTTCTTCACATGCTATGCGAGCAGATGTGAGCTGTCCGCCTATCTTTACTTCCTTCAGGGAGACAGTCTTCCCCAAAACATGCCGCCTTGTGGGCTGTCAGTCACAATGCTCTCACTCCCCATGGTATCACAAGCCAGGCAGGAGGACCTCCAATCCCCAAGACTCAATGACTGCTTCAGAGAGAGGCATATGACAGAAGTAGGGATAAACTGGGAGTTTGAGATTTGCAGATACTAACAAATATATAAAAAATAGATAAACGAGTTTATACCATACAGCACAGGGAACCATATTCAATATCTTGTAGTAACTTATGATGAAAAAGAATATGAAAACAAATATACGTTATGTTTCTATATGACTGAAGTATTGTGCTGTGCACCAGAGACACATTATAAACTGACTATACTTTGATAAAAATATATATTTAAAAAAGGAGGGTCAGGCATTGTGTCCTAGGGCTTTTCTGCTAGAGCAAGAAGAAGAACTCTCTCCTGCTTTTGGTGGGTCACAGAGTCGTTTAGCAAACTCCTCTGGAAGACTTATTTTCTTGAAACTTTCTAGGAGGCCATATTCAAATGTTGTCGAGAGGCAGAGCAAGTCATTTCTTTTGATTGTCCTATAAATAGGCACATATTTTTATCCAGTTTGGGAACCAACTCCAATTTTAGAAAGGTAACCCAGGTTAGTGGTGATTTATGAGGATTTCTACTTTATTATCAGGATGGTGGTTCCCAAAAAGGGAAGCTATTAATTCTAATTTCAACTAGGCTATCAATATCTTCAGTTTTTCACACACCACATTATAGGACTGCCATAGTAATTGTCTATTTTTTTGTTCTAGCTTCTTATTGATCGATAATATACATTAAATGTACACAAAGTGCATAGCTCAATAAATTTTCACAACCGAATGCAACTTTGTCACTGTATATTTTGCTGCACATGAATAAAATTTAAGATGTCTAAGGTCAGGACCATGCATTCATTTTTCTCAACCCCTAGCTCAATCCCAGGCCCAAAAGTAACTAATGGCCAATGTTGATGTCACTGTCCTTTACCTACCAGACAGAGGCATTCATTTTATACCTGAAAATCATCAGGTAGAAAGGTAGAAAGGCTTTTCCAGCATATTAATTTAACAATAATTATACCAATATCAAACAATTATCAAGTGCTTACAGGTACTATTATTATCTCAGTTTTATAGATAAGGAAACTGGCGGAGAGGGTTTTTAAAAGTGACTGAGATCAAATAGTCAGTAAATTGAAGAGAGCAAGACCACAAGATAAAACTCAATTTCCAAAAAGTAATTTAAGCCATCTAAACCGTCCACTATGATAATTACCATTTTTATTGAATCTGAGAAAAACAATTTTTCTTAAGACAAAGAGATAGAATCCACTTTCCTTTAGTAAACATTAGCCATGATTTAGCCTTGGAAGAGAAGAGCAGTTGACTGAACTCTAATAGCGTTTAAAATTCTGCAAAGACAAGCAAGAGCATACAGCAGAGATTACAGACTTACTTCTCAATCGTGGGCATCTTCCATTTCTTCCTGCATTCACATCCCTCTGTAGCATCAGCTTCTTTTCTGTGTTGCTGCTTGCGTGGAATCTCTGGGATCCTTAACTTGGGGGCTATTCCTGATGGGTGAGATGGTGCTTCTGGGTGGGCAGCCTGCCTCTTGTCTCTCTAAATGCCTGTCATTTAATTACAAAAGGATGGATGAGAAAGTCAGCTCTTGAGGCCACTGAGAAAATCCCAACCAAAAATGCCACAAAATCTTTTATTCAAATTGCTTAAGGTGAAGAAATTCTTCAGATTCCTTAAGATATGTTAAAAATGATCCAAGATTATTTACTTTGTTATGTAGCTTGAAAAGCTACCAACACTGCTAAGAGATTTCGGGGTGACACATTTATGTTCTGATTCTGATTTTATAGTGAATTATTTCTGTTAGAAAATAAAAAGCAAACCAGGGAGGAGGGGACAGCTCAAGTGGTAGAGTGCATGCTTAGCACGCACAAGGTCCTGGGTTCAATCCCCAGTACCTCCTCCAAACATAAATAAATAAAAAAGAAGAAAAGCAAACAGTAGGCATTAGGGGTTTGGTAGCTGCCTTTCTTTGGTTATGTTTTTATTTACTATAGCTAAGATGAAGAAAAAAAATTGGGTGAGACTTTATAGTTAAAGTAAAAGAAAAAATATATATAATAATAAACACACTAATTAGATGACTCTTGCCACTTAATGTTCTAAGAACAGTGGAATCAATCAATATTTCTTGAGTCTGGACTAGATGAGACCCCACGTGAAGATTGTGTACATCATAGATCTGCAGACAAGGGACACAAAACAGAATAAAAGAATGGTTTTTGAAGTTCCCTTTGAACTAAAGTTAATGCATCAGTGTACCTTTAAAAGCAAAAATAAGTCTAAGCCATCTCATAAACATCTTTTTAAAGTAAGGTTTTAATTTTTTTGTAAGTAAAAACTAATTGCAGTTGTAAAAGATGATGATACAGTTTGTACTAGGGAGAAACATGGTCCTAACCTTTAAGAAATTATCTCTTGCTGTTTCTGTGCCAAAGCAACTCTCTTAGTAAACGTCTTTCAAATTAAGTGGTAGCCACCACAGAAGCTATGCCCATCTGCATCTGCTTTATGAACTTGATGATCTGAAAAATGATGAAGGGATGATGACTCCATTAAGCCATCAGCCCAAACTACTTTGTATGCAGCTCTGTAAATGATCCATTTCTTCACTGATCTCTCATTTTCAAATATCGGTGGGATCCAGTTGGCTGAGAACTGGCGGAGGCATAACCTCGGCCCACCTGCCCTGCCTCTCTGCATCCTGCATTCTCATGAGTACGTGATACTCCACACCTCATCTTTCTGGAGTCACAAGCTCATATTGATTGGTTTCTATGCAGTCCCAAACAATAGGTGTCTAAAAATGTAGTTTTTCCTGATTTACAGTAATTTTAATACTATCACAATCATACACTAAGATTATTTATCTTTCTAAACTAGCAAACCAGGTAAATGCCCCATCATGCCCAGAATTAAGCTAACACTTGGTTAGGCAGAGAGAGCTTTCCCATCAGTACAATCAGTACAATACAAAGCAACAGGAAACAACGACTGAGTCGATGGCTATAAGATGGTTCATGTTAAAGACTCAGTATCAGCTGCTGAACATTCACTGGGTTCCATTCACCATGCTTACTTCATGTCTCACCACCTCTGAGTTAGCGCAATTGTCTTTCCAATTTTACAGAGAAGGAAGCAGAAGCTTATAGAACCAAAAGGTACACTGCTGGTAGCATGCAGAATCTGGATTTGAACTCATGCCTTTGCACTCGAGGGTTAATTTTAGACTTCCTCACACAGTGAGCTATGCATGACAATGGTCCAAACACACAGAGAAGCCCAAGCTTGGCCCAAGTTTGGCCCATAACACCATGAAGTTATGACATAGAGAAGAGGAAAATATTATTTTTTCCGCAGACTTAATGTGTCTAGGAGGGCATTACATAGGCAATTTATCTAAACTCCATTATGAAACAAAAGAAAAACTAAAGAGCATGGAAAGTTGGTACCCTTCCAGGAATAATGATAATGAGGTAACACCCACAGAGCCCCCAACTAAAGACCTTGCCTTTCTTTTCCTTTTAGTTTTCCATCTGTGCCCCCAGGCGCATGAAACTGAAAGGAGAAGAGATGTACATTTCCAAACACCCCCATACCCAACAAACCCAAATTCTGTACCCAAATTCCCTAGAATGTCTCCTTTTCTAACCTACTTACTTTTATTCTATTCTTTATTTAGTTTCATTATATTCTATATCAAAGCAATAGTTCCCAACCTCCCTTTCAAGTCTCTAAATTTCTTTGCCTTCATTCAGTTTCTTCTCACTCTAGTCTACTGTTTTCATTGTTACGGTCCATCTTACTCTTTCTAATTTTCCATGACTGTGAACATTATGAACACCCCTGCCCCATCCCTGTGAATGTTATAAATCCTTCTGCCGACAACATTTTTATTTTTCTGACAGTCTGGCTAAAATAAATGCCATATTTATACAAGAGGTAACATCTATATAACCCCTTGTGTATGTATTTGTCAAAGCCATGCAAAGATACATTTGATAATTCATGGATTTCTTTGTGATTGAGATTGCAGTGTTTATTCCAGGATGTAGACTGATTATATATTTTCTTCCAATTTTGTTGAGATGCAGTTGATGTATAGCACTGCATACGTTTAAGTTTTAGATTTAGAGCATGATTTGACTTATATTCAGCATGAAATGATTACCAAAATATGTTAAATGAACGTCCATTATCACATATAGATAAAAATTTAAAGAAGTAGAAAACATTTTTTCCTTTTGATGAGAACACGTAGGATTTACTTTCTCATACACTTTCATATATAACAAACAGCAGTGTTGATTATAATTATCATGTTATACCTAGTACAGTGATTTGGCATTTCTATGCATTTCAAAATGACCACCACGGTAAGTCTATTTACCTACCACTTGTCACCATACAAAGATGTTATGTAATTACTGACTATATTCCCCACACTGTACATTTCACATCTGCAGCTCATTTATTTTATAACTGGTAGCTTGTGTCTCTTAATTTCCCTCACCAATTTCTCTTCTCCCCTCTCTGTGGCAACCACCTCTTTGTTCTATGGATCTACGAATCTTTTGGTTTTGTTATGCTTCTTCATTCATTTTGCTTTGTGTTTTTACATTCCACAAGTAAGTGAAATTACACTGTGTTTTCTTTCTCTGTATGACTTCTTTCACTTAACCTAGTTCACTCTAGATACATCCATGTGGTCACAAATGGCAAGATTTCATTCTCCTTTATGACTAATATCCCATTATATATATATTATATATAT